AACAGCGATACCAGAAGGGTAGGGGTAAGGTGGGGAGAGGAGTGGAGGAAGGGGGAACTGATTGCAATGATGGACACATAACCACATACTGCCCCCCACCCTCCAGGGGGACAAACAACAGAAACCTTGGGGGAAGGGAGAGAATGGTGGGTGTAAGTTGTTGAAATAATAATAATTTATCATTTATCAAGGGGTCACAAAGGTGGGGGGGGAGGAGGGAAAAAAGAGGAGCTGATACCAAGGACTCAATAGAAAGTAAATGTCTAGAAAATAATGATGGCAACATATGTATGAATATGCATGATACAATTGATGAATGGATTGTTATAAGAGCTGTAAGAGCCCCCAATAAAATGATCCTTTAATTTAAAAAATATGGCAAGAATATACAGTCAGTGTACCAAAAAGGAGTAGTAGACATTCCATTATTTCAAGAGATTCTGAACAAGAAGCAATGGTCCTGAAGGAATAAGTTCAAGCTACACCGAATGCATTAGCCAAAAATAAGGCTCTGCGAATTGATGGAGTACCAGTTTCAACAAGCTAATGGAACACTGGAAGCACCCATCTGTACCAGGGTATTTGGAAGACAGCTAATTGGCCAACTGGCTTGAAAAGATCCATATTTGTACCCATTTCAAAGAGAGGTGGCCCAACGGGATCCTCAAACCATAGAACAGTATTATTGACAGATATCACATTCAAGTAAAATTACTCGGAAGATCATCCAACAGCAGTTGCAGCAGTACACTGACAGGGAGCTGCCAGAGGTCCAGACTAGATTCAGAAGATGACGTGAATAAGGGATACTATGGCTGATGGCAGATGGCTCTTGGCCAAAAGCAGAGAATGCCAGAAAGATGTTTACTTGTGTTTTATTGACTACACCATGTCATATGCCTGTGTGGATCTTAACAAAGTATGCATGACCTTGAGAAGAACGGAAATTCCAGAATGCTTCATTGTGTCCATGGACTTGTACATGGATCAAGAGGCAGTTGTGCAAACAGAACAAAGGATTCTGTATAGTTTAAAATCAGGAAAGGCATGTCACCGAGTTTAATCCTCTCCCTATACGTATTCAATCTATGTATACTGAGCGAATAATCACAGACTCTGGATTACATGAAGAAAAATGCAGCACCAAGATTGGCGGGAGGCTTCCTAACAACCTGCTCCATGCAGATGACACAACCTTGCTTGCGGAAAGCGAGGAGGACGTGAAATACTTGCTGATGAAGGTCAAGAATAGCAATATTCAGTATGGATTACAACTCAAAGTAAAGAATACAAAAATCCTCAGAAATGGACCAATAGGTAACGTCATGATAGATGAAGAAAAGGTTGAAGTTGTCACGGGCCTTGTCTTGTTTGAATCTACAATCAATGGCCATGGAAGAAGCCGTCAAGAGATCAAAAGATGAGTTTCACTGGATAAATGTGCTGCCCAAGGCCTCTTGGGAGCACAGGAAAGCAAGGATAGTACTTTGAGGAATAGGTGTGCCTGACCCACAGCCTAGCGTTTTCAATTGCTGCATATGAATGTGAAAGTTGAACATTGAATTTTTTTAAAAAGAAGAAAAAATTTGGATATTGAATAAGGAAGACTGAAGGAAAATGTATAGATTTGAATCGTGGTGCTAGAAACGAATATTGAAAGTACCGTGAACTGCTACAAGGACAAATGGATCTATCTTGGAAGAAGTAGGGCCAGAACGCTCCTTAGAATCAAGGATGGCAAGACGTACAGACTTTTACATACTTAGGACGTGTTGTCAGGAGAGATCAGTCCCTGGAGAGGCACTGGAGAAGGACATCGAGTTTGACAGAGTGGAGAGGGAACAAAAAGAGGAGGGACCTCAAGGAGATGGATGGATTGACACAGTGGCTGTCACAATGGGCTCAAGCGGAGAAACACTTGTGAGGATGGCTCTGGACTGCACAGGGTCTCATTCTGCTGTGCATCGGGGTCGCTATAGGGCTGAGTCCACTCAATGGCACCGAACAACAACAACAACAATTTGGCTTTCAGGTATGAAAAATGGAAAGGGTCTCAATTGACACTTTCTATTTGTTTTCTTCTTAACTAGTTTCTTTCTTAATTTTATCAATGCCAGTGGATGGAACCACCACAAACATCAGTTGCTCAGTTGCTCAATTCAGGTACCTAACCAGACCCACTGCCATTGAGACGCTACAGGACAGAAGAACTACCCTCTAGTTTCCAAGACTGTAAATCCTTATGGGTGCAGACAGCCTCATCTCTCTACCAAAAAGAGGCTGAAGCATTGGACCTGTTAACCTGGAGCTTATCAGCCCAGTGTGAACCCCACTACACCATCAAACCTAAAAGCGAAAAACCAAATTCTCTGTCGTGGAGTCAAATCCGACTCATAGCCACCCTAAAGGACCTGGTGGGACTGGCTCTGCAAGTTTCAGAGACTGCAGTTCTTCACGGGAATGCAGAGCCTCATCTTCCAGAAGTAGCTGATGGCTTTGAATTTGGGGGCCTGGCATCTAGCAGCCCACGTGTAACAGATATCATTAATCCCTTCCTTTCCCTCAGCCCGATGGCCAAGCCTTAGGAAAATTTGGACAATTTTATCTTCAAAATGTAACTCAAATTACTTGCTACTTGCCCAACTTGCTGGCCCCTATCTTAATTCAGGGCAGCCTAGTCTCTCACCCAGAAAGGGCTAAGGCCTCGTATGGCCCAAACCATCTGTCACCTTCCTTCATCCAGTTCTCTGCACATCAACCAGAAAGAGCGTTAGATTTTCTAAATCATGTAATATCACTCCTGTTTAGTTCTGCAGTGCCTTTTCGCAGCACCCATCAGAGGGTCTGAGATCCTCTGTAACCTGTGGCTGGCCCTCTCTTTGCCATCCTCTCATAGCATCTACTCCTGTCCTTCTGTTCCAGCACCAGAAGGAGCCACTTCCTACCACAGAGGCCTCTCCTGACCATCCCTCAAACCTCGGCAAACACCGCTTGCATAGACTGCATGTAAGCTAATGTTACCCAGGAGCTCGTCAAGCGTATGTGTATGATTAAGACTGTAGGCCATCTATTTTCAATGTAAACATTTGGGCGTGATCCTATTGGAGAGAAAATAAAAGAAGAATGTCATTTGGGAACGCATCACAAATGGCTATATAGCCCACCCCCCAGGGGGACAAACAATAGAAATGTGGGTGAAGGGAGACAACGGACAGTATAAGACATGAAATAACAGCAATAATATATAATTGATCAAGGATTAGTGAGGGTGGGAGGTCTAGGGAGGGAGGGGGAAATATATAGGCATTGGTACCAAGGGCTAAAGTTGAAAGAAATTGTTTTGGAAATGTTGATGGCAATATATGTCCAAGTGTACTTAATACAATTGAATGATGGATTGCTATAAAATTTGTAAGAGGGTCCCCCCTATGAAATGATTAATTAAAAAAAGGGAAAAGTTTTAAATCACTGACTGATCTGGAAGCCACTTGGCACATTATAAATTTGTTCTGTCAGCTTATTGTCAGCCATCAGAGGGAATGGAAATATTAAAAGATGACAATAACACTACCACTGGCCGTAACCTTTATTGAACGCTTACTAAGTGCCTGGCAGTGTTCTAAGTACTTTCCATGCATTTCATTCTTACTGCCACCTGGGAGTCCAGCTCTTGCTTTCCTCCGCTTTCCACATGAGCGGACAATGCTCAGCATGTGAGGTAACTTGCCAATCACACCACGTGTAAATTCCAGGGCCCGGGTTTACAAGCAGGGAGGTCATTTCACCACCCAGTTCTCCATGGTCCAATCCGTGTCAGACACTCTGGCATTAGACACAAAGACCTCATGATTTCTTCCTTCAGCACTTTGTAAAATACTTAATTGGCTCTCCTTTGCATTGACTTCAAATTTGCCTCTTCACTGGTCTGTCTTGTTTGATAAGTTCATCAAACATCAAGGCTCTGTGTTCAGTTTCAAAGAGGATTACAATGATAAGCTTTTATAATTAAAAATATCTCATCAGAGATTCCCTTCACCACAGTTCTCTTGCCCTTATCGTCTAATTATTAGTGACGAATTTCCTGATTTTTCAAAACTGTATTTTCTTTAAACACAAAGTTGCAAATTAACAGCTGCAAAAAGAAAAAGGAAAAAAGAACGCATTTCCCCCCTTTGAACTGTTGTTTAAAGAAAATCTCTCTTGCTCTAACATTTAAAGGCAGTAATGATCTAAAACAGAATCATCTGGCAATAATTGGAATTCAATAACTCTATGTAAGTGTTCGTGGTTAGGAGCTAGTGACTGCTTTAAATGATTCCAAATGTGAAACATGGGGTTGCTTAAAGCTTACAGAAAGGGTACAGAAAAGCATGAGACCAGGTTAGAAAATTTTAAGGAGATAGAAAGTGAAAAGCCATATTGTATATATAAAAATATCACTTCTATCCACTAACCCAGAGTAAAAGATAAACTAATCTCTACAATGAATAAACCAACATCTCTACAGTCCTTCAGTTTCCCCCAAATGTGTCACATTCCTAACTTAATTTCATCCTTCCTACAACACCGTGAGATGAGTAGTCTCATGACTTCCCTCTTACAGACAGGGTCAAGTTCACCATACACCATTACCCCAGAGAGCAATCCTTTATCACAAGCATGCCACACACCTAGTCCATTTCATACTCAGGATCTTAGTTCATCTCCATAAACTTTTACAGAAGTGGTATTACTGTTTTAGCTTTACAAATGGAGAAATGTGGGCTCAGAGGGTTTAAAGGACCCACGCCAAACTACCGCGCTCCTAAGTATAAAAGCTGATTTGCAGAGACCCCCTCAGACTCCAAGGACACTGGTTTCACTCCCTCCCTGGATGAGTAATCAAAATCAGAAGAGGTTTACATTCATCACGAAATATTGCCCGTGGCAAACATGAAAGAGCCTCCACTTCCCAGTAGGTGATTTCAAAGTACAGGTACGTAGAGACGTGGTCAACTCACCGTTTGACCTCCTGCCCGGCTGCCCCATGCTGACCAGTCATCAAAGACAGCATGAGAAGAGCAACAGCGAACATTTCATCCAGAAGACACGGCCCTGTTCTGTTAGAAGGAGTAGAACTATCTATTCGGGGAGTTTAGACAAATGGTACCTACTGCCCACGAGCTGTACGGTCTATCTAACCTCAGTTCTCGCTCAGAGGTGGTTAATTAGTGACCAGGGTATCGATTAGTCCAATGCCCTAAAATCCCAGACACCAAAGGCCACTGTCCTTCGGGTTTGGGAAAACAATATGCATAGGGTTGAGGAAAGGAGGCCTTTTAACCAAGACCAACTTATTTTCAGATGAAAGCAGGGCCCAAACCAAACTGTTCTTCTTGAATTTGCAGGCTTTTTGAATCACTCTGGAAACGTCTGAGGCCAGAACAATTTGTTTCACAAGATTGAAACAAGGCTAGACGCAGAATATCAGGTTAGCCATAAACCAGCCAGATAAATGTTGGAAACGCTTCCAATGTATGGACGTTCTACAGCTTCCAATATATGGAGGTTGCCAAACATCTGAAAGTCTCAGAAGGATGGGTGCTGAGACAGACGTTCCACTTTTCATCCAGATAAATTGGGTTTCATTAAGATCTAGCATACGGGTGACTTAAAGACCCAGACTTCTTTTTTTTTTTAAACATTTTATTAGGGGCTCATACAACTATTATCGCAATCCATACACACATCAATTGTTTAAAGCACATTTGTACATCATTCTCAAAACATTTTCTCTCCACTTAAACCCCTGGCATTAGGTCCTCATATTTCCCCTCCCTCCCCGCTCCCCTCTCCCTCATGCGCCCTTGATAGTTTATAAATTGGTATTTTGTCATATCTTGCCCTGTCCGATGTCTCCCTTCACCCACTTTTC